CTGCACATGCAATATCGACCTACATGGAACTTGTATGTATATTATAAGGTATAGTTTTTATTTTCAATGAGATATATGTATCTAACTTCGATAATCCCAGTATCCATTTTATTCAGTCAAAAGTTTGTCTAAATTAAAAACCACAAAATATTGCTCATGGGATTTTTTTTTTTTTTCATTTTCCTTAGAATCCAACTCAAATACATTATATTTTTGAAGAACTATAAAAAGTAAACTACATACATTATAGTTTGGAAGAACTAACAACCTGCTACATTATACATAAAAGAAGAAAGATATGCATATGCACAAACGTATGCACGCCCAAAAGTCTAGGAAACTATTAAAGAGAATATCAATTATGCAAAATCATTGCATAAGAAGTTTCTGTAAATTCTGTAATGGAAGGAGCATTAGTGTAATAGTCATTTAAGTGGTACTAGTGTAATATGAGCTTAATTTGTCTCTACTTGCTCTCACAATGACACATTTAGCCTAATCGAGCCCTTTGGAAAGCTCTTTTTTTTTTCGACAGAATTCATAAATATTTTAGATTCATCAACATACTTAAGATTGAAGAAAATCACCAATCCTTGCAAGTGTTGTAAATTGGTTTCAGCATGAAAAAGAAGTCAACAAAAATCTAATAAAAAGATTACACAGTAACACCATAATGCTCAATCTTAAGGAAAGTAGTAACTCTCCATTAAGAAGCTGTAAAATTGAGAGTTTAAAGTCATTCCTGAACCTGCAGCTGTGCCAAGATATATGACCTTCGAAATACTTATGCCTTAAGGGTCATTCTGGTTGCATCACCTCCTCTACAACTCGAAAAATGCTATTATCAAGGACGATGCCATCATTTATTCCAGCATCGAGATGAAACACACCGACATCATATTCTTTTGAAAAATTGTGAACCACAAAATCATCCCAACCTTTTTGCAGTCCGCCACCATCGCATCTGCAATGTTATATGGCTTTACATGTTTTGAGTTCGGTTTGGAGAACAAAATCTTGACTTTTTGGATGTACATTGACCCTTGCCCACTCAGAAGGGATAGTCAAGAAGAATCGTCTGTGGACATGTGTAGGCGGCATGACTAAAGTAAAACATTTTTTCTGATGATGCTGCATTTGCTTTTGCTTTTCCAGTGCTTCCTCTTTTCCCTCTACAATAACATCCCTTCTACGAGGTGTACACTTCAAGAGCTTATTTATTTCCCTCCTAGCCTTTGCATTTGATCTAGTTAGTAGTCTCGATAATGTTGGTGTATTAGTAGAATCATTCTTGAGATTTTTCATCATAGTATAGTCAATATCATCAGAAGATTTATAGGAGATTTCATTAGTATCTTCGTCATGAGTTCTGCTTAGCATGTTACGGTTTACCAATGATACTGCATTTGCTTTAGCTTCTTGTACTGCCTTCACGTTTACCTCTCCATTTACAGCTGCTCTACGGAATGTGAGCTGCAATGGATTTCCACCAATCGTATTGGTAGAACGCCACCTGCCCTTATTGTTCCCCCTACGAGCCTATGTATTTGCTCTAGTAGGTAGTCTCCTTAGGCTTTTTACTATTAAGATTTGGGGTTCCATCTTAAAAAGTCACCCTTATTAAGAAGAGTACCCCAAATCCTTATAAATTGGTCTATGTTTTCATCTTTATTCGATTTTAAATTTTATCTCTTAACATCAGCATCGTCAGAAGATATTGAGTTCTTTCTAGCATGTTTCTCTCTCTCTTAAGTAAATTCCCTTTGTAAGGCTCAATTGAAAATTCAAGTTTGGTAACTAGACTCATCCTACAATCAGAAAGTAAATAGTACTGAAACTATGAAAATGAAAACACATTAAAAAGAATCTATACATAGAAAGTTCAATATATTCATCAAGTTATTTCATTAAGATTTTTTTCCAAACTTATAGAACTTGGAAAAATCATCAACATAATTAACGAAAATGAAAAATTAAAATATTTGTAGTTTAGTTCTTTTAGTTTTCAATAGCTACTTATCCCAAGAAATCTTCCTTATTCTACAAACCATGTATTACTTTCTTAAGAGTGTCCGTGTCTCAAATTAAAATACACAATGTGGGCCCATGTGTGCACGCCTGCACGGTAGAGTAGATATATAGCATTATTCACAAGTTATAAATGGAAAAGAAAAAATGGCAAGATAGCAATGAAGACCATCATGGCTCTCAAGGGTATAAGTGGTGTAGCGATCGGAATTTTAAAATGCAAATTTTATAACTTAAATTATGTCGTTACGACATTTCCGTCAAATTTTAGAATTTATTTTACGTCCGTAGAGTCGTCTAGCAAAAACATCTAAAATAAGAATTCAAAACGATTTTTAATCTTAAAAATTCAATATTTTTATCGGGTCGAATTTTACACTCAACATCTATTTTAAATTTCTCTTGGTCCAAATATTCTTCTTTGGCCCAAGTTTGAGTCCATTACCAGCCCAAATTTTGGAGCATAAGTTTGTAGGGCTTAATAGTATCAAATCTAAAATCTAATCAATTTCATCTACAAAAATACTTCAGTCTCACGGCTGAAATTTCACAGAAATCTGGATATTTCAAGGTAAATCTCTCAACATTGGAACAATTATTTTACTTTGATTTCATCATCATCATCTTCTAATCGACATTAACCTTGCACCGGTTATTCAAAATTCAAGCTGCACACTCTCGAACTATCACTCGACAAAAATCTGTGCATGTGACCCATTCGAAATTAATTTTTAGTTTCTTTGGAATTCTATAATATGTTTCTTCTCTACACATACATATTCATAAATGAAGAAAGACAAAAAAAAAAA